CAGCGTTCATTTACTAGAGGGTGAACGGTCTCCACACAAGATTATAGATTCCAGAAAAACATCAAGGCACTTGATAGTCAAAATGAGGAATCATAATTGTAGATATAATCTCTTGAAAGCCGCTAGGACAAAGAGGCTCGTTACTTACAGAGGAAAGCCCATCAGAATAACGTCAGACCTGTCCACAGAGACCTGGCAAGACAGAAAGGGCTGGCAAGATATATTCAGGGCACTAAATGAGAAGAACATGCAGTCAAGAATACTTTATCCAGCAAGACTGACATTCAAAATGGATGGAGAGATAAAGAGTTTCCAAGACCTGCAAGGCTCTAAAGACTACGCAAACACCAAGCCGACACTGCAGGAAATATTAAGGGAGGTTCTATAAAACAGGAAAAATCCTAAGAAGAGCATTGAACAGAAATATAGAGACAATCTACAGAAAGAAAGACTTCAAAGTTAACACGATGTCAATAAAAATGTATCTATCAATAATCACTCTCCATGAGAGTGGCCTAAATGCACCCATAAAATGACACAGGATTGCAGATTGGATAAAACGACAGGACCCATCCATATATTGTCTACAAGAGACCCATTTTGAACCTAAAGATACACCCAGACTGAAAGTGAAGGGTTGGAGAAGCATCTTTCATGCCAATGGGCCTCAAAAGAAGGCCGGGGTAGTGATTCTCATATCAGATAAATTAGATTTTAAACTAAAGACTGGAGTCAGAGATACAGAAGGACACAACATAATTCTTAAAGGGACTATCCACCAAGATGATCTAACAATTGTAAATATCTATGCCCCCAATATGGGAGCAGCCAATTACATAAGAAAACTGTTAATCAAGAAAAAGAGTCATACTGATATGAATACATTACTAGTAGGAGATCTTAACATGCCTCTCTCAGAAATAGACAGATCATCAAAGCAGAAAATCAATAAAGAAACAAGAGCATTGAATGACACATTGGACCAGATGGACCTTATAGATATATACAGAACATTCTACCCTAAAACAATGGAATACTCATTCTTACAAGTGCACATGGAATCAGCTCCAGAATAGACCACAGACTGGGTCAAAAATCAGGACTCAACCGTAACAAAAGACTGAGATGATTCCCTGCATATTCTCAGATCACAATGCTTTAAAACTGGAGCTCAATCACAAGGAAAAGTTCAGAAGGAACTCAGACACCTGGAAGCTAATGACCACCTTGCTTAAGAATGCTTGGATCAACCAGGAGATCAAAGAAGAACCTAAAGAATTCATGGAAACCAATGAGAATGAAGACATTTTGGTCCAAAACCTATGGGATACAGCAAAGGAGGTCGTAAGGGGAAAATATATGGCCATCCAAGCCTCCCTCAAAAAAATTGAAAAACCCAGAATACACCATCTGTCTCTACACCTTAAAGAACTGGAGATTCAACAACAAATCAAACCAACTCCACACATAAGAAGGGAAATCATTAAGATTAGAGCAGGGATCAATGAGGTAGAAACCAGAGATACAGTAGAATGTATCTATGAAACTAGAAGCTGTTTTTTTTAAAGAATCAGTAAGACCAATAAACCATTGGCCACACTAATCCAAAAGAAAAGAGAGAAAGCCCAATATCATAAAATTATGAATGAAAAGGGAGACATCACAACTAACACCAAGGAAGTAGAAACAATCATCAGAAGTTATTACCAACAGTTATATGCAAATAAGCTAAGCAACCTAGATGAAATGGATGCATTTCTGGAGAACTATCAACTCCCAAAATTGAACCGGGAAGAAATTGACAACCTGAATAGACTGATATCTAGTAACGAGATTAAAGCAGTGATCAAAAACCTCCCAAAAAACAAGAGCCCAGGACCTGACGGATTCCCTGGGGAATTCTACCAAACTTTCAAAGAAGATATAATACCTGCTCTCCTGAAGCTGTTTCAAAAAATTGAAGCAGAAGGAAAACTTCCAAACTCTTTCTATGAAGCTAGCATTACCCTGATCCCCAAACCAGGCAAAGACCCTACCAGAAAGGAGAATTTCAGGCCAATATCACTGATGAATATGGATGCTAAGATTCTCCACAAGATCCTAGCAAACAGGATCCAACAGCACATTAAAAAGAGTATCCACCATGACCAGGAGGGATTCATCCCTGGGCTACAAGGATGGTTCAACATTCGCAAATCAATCAATGTGATAGATCAAATCAATAAGAGAAGAGAGAAGAACCACATGGTCCGCTCAACTGATGCAGAAAAAGCATTTGACAAAATCCAGCATCCATTCCTGATTAAAATGCTTCAAAGTATAGGGGTAGAGGGAGCATTCCTGAACTTCATAAAATCTATCTATGAAAGACCCACAGCAAATTTCATCCTCAATGGGAAAAAGCTTGCAGCCATCCCATTGAGATCAGGAACACGACAAGGATGCCCACTCTCACCACTCTTGTTCAACATAGTATTAGATGTCCTAGCAACAGCAATCAGACAACAAAGAGAAATAAAAGGTATCCAAATTGGCAATGCAGACATCAAACTCTCTCTCTTCACAGATGACATGATTCTTTATATGGAAAACGCAAAGGACTCCACCCCCAAACTTCTAGAATTCATACAATAATTCAGCAACGTGGCAGGATACAAAGTCAATGTACAGAAATCAGTGGCTTTCTTATACACTAACAATGAAAATACAGAAAGGGAAATTAGAGAATCGATTCCATTTAGTATAGCACCAAGAACCATAAGATACCTGGGAATAAACTTAACCAAAGGGGTAAAGGATATGTACTCGAGGAACTACAGAACACTCATGAAAGAAATCAAAGAAGAAACAAAAAGATGGAAGACCATTCCATGCTCTTGTATTGGAAGAATAAACATTGTTAAAACATCTATACTGCCTAGAGCAATCTATACTTTTAATGCCATTCCGATCAAAATTCCAACGGTATGTTTCAAAGAGTTGGAGCAAATAATCCTAAAATTGTATATGGAATCAGAAGAGACCACGAATCACTAGGGAATTGTTGAAAAACAAAAATAAAACTGGCTGCCTCACGTTACCTGATTTCAAGCTTTACTACAAAGCTGTGATCACCAAGACAGCATGGTACTGGGATAAAAATGGACACATACACCAGTGGAGCAGAGTACAGAGCCCAGATATGGACCCTCAACTTTATGGTCAAATAATCTTTGACAAAACAAGAAAAAATATACAGGGGAAAGTAAGATAGTCTCTTCAATACATGGTGCTTGGAAAACTGGAGAGCTATATGTAGATGAATGAAACTCAACCATTCTCTTAAAGCGTACACAAAGATAAACTCAAAATGGATAAAAGACCTCAATGTGAGACAGGAATCCATCAGAATCCTAGAGGAGAACATAGGCAGCAACCTCTTCGATATCAGCCATAGCAACTTCTTTCAAGATATGTCTCCAAAGGCAACAGAAACAAAAGCGAAAATGATTTTTTGGGACTTCATCAAGATCAAAAGCTTCTGCACAGCAAAGGAAACAGTCAACAAAACAAAGAGGCAACCCACAGAATGGGAGAAGATATTTGCAAATGGCAGTGCAGACAAAAGGTTGATATCCAGGATCTATAAAGAACTCCTCAAACTCAACACACACAAAACAGACAATCATATCAAAAAATGGGCAGAAGATATGAACAGACACTTCTCCAATGAAGACATCCAAATGGCTATCAGACACATGAAAAAATGTTCATCATCACTAGCCATCAGGGAGATTCAAATGAAAACCACATTGAGATACCACCTTACACCACTTAGAATGGCCAAAATTAGCAAGACAGGAAACAACATGTGTTGGAGAGGATGTGGAGAAAGGGGAACCCTCTTACACTGTTGGTGGGAATGCAAGTTGGTGCAGCCTCTTTGGAGAACAGTGTGGAGATTCCTCAAGAAATTAAAAAGAGAGCTTCCCTATGACCCTGAAATTGCACTACTGGGTATTTACCCCAAAGATACAGATGTAGTGAAAAGAAAGTCCATCTGTACCCTAATGTTTATAGCAGCAACGGCTACGGTCACCAAACCGTGGAAAGAACCAAGATGCCCTTCAACAGATGAATGGATAAGGAAGATGTGGTCCATATACACTATGGAGTATTATGCCTCCATCAGAAAGGATGAATACCCAACTTTTTAGCAACATGGACAGGATTGGAAGAGATGTGGCTGAGTGAAATAAGTCAAGCAGAGAGAGTAAATTATCATATGGTTTCACATATTTGTGGAGCATAACAAATAGCATGGAGTACAAGTGGTGTTAGAGAGGAGAAGGGAGTTGAGGGAAATTGGAAGGTGAGGTGAACAATGAGAGACTATTGACTCTGATAAACTATATAGTTTTATGATAAATAATTTGGGTATTATTAATGAGAAAAAAGTTAGATTATTTATACTTAATCTATCATTTTTTAAATATAAGAACCCCTCTAAACTGTGTGTTTTTTAGACAGTAGGGAGGTTAAAGATTTCATAGTTTTCAGAAAGTCAGTAATCTTTTTTTTCCCTAAAAATTGTTTACTTTTCATTCCTGAAAGTAAGCTGAAACAAGTTTTGTTTTTCAGGAGATGTGATTAAATGACCTTATAACTGAGACACAATTTAATAGTTGTTGGTCTGTCACTCTGAATTTACTGAAAGATACAGGGAGGATAGACTGTTGTTCAGGTTTTGACAAAGTCAGTTAGATTTTCAATACTTCAGGACTTTTCACAGGACACATGTGGACAACATAATAATGGCATATTTACATGAATTGAAACTAAAGTGGTTCAAGAAAACAGTATTATCCAAGTAATAATTGATGATCAATATGTGAGTAGGACCTAAACGAAAGTAATTTGTTTTTGATTGTTTGCATGATTGCCATATTTAGAAACCCATTTTATGTTCAATATTGAAAAAATTGGTGATGATGTTTTATTACCCTATTTTTATACAGATTATGCCTCCAATACCAACAAATCTCACAATTGTGACAGAATTTATCCTCATGGGATGTTCTACCAACAAAAATATATGCATTTTTCACTTAGTGCTCTTCTTTTTTATTTACTTCTGTGCTCTGATGGACAATATTCTCATCATCATGACCACAACTTTGGACCAGAATCTCCACACCCCCATGTACTATTTTTTGTGAAAAATTTATATTTTGGGGATCTCTGCCTAATTTCAGTCACCATTCCCAAATCTATTGCCAATTCCTTTTCTCATAGTAACTCCATTTCACTCACTGGCTGTGTTTGCCCAGGTCTTTATGTTGGTTTTTTCAGCAACTACAGAACTACACCTCCTGACGGCAATGTGCTTTGATCATTATGCTGCCATATGCCACCCCCTGCACTATGAAATCATCATGAAAAAAGACATGTGTGTTCAGTTGACAGCCATATCATGGCTGGGTGGGAGTCTGATTGCTCTGATGCACACAGTTGGTACCTTCTCTTTATCCTATTGTGGGTCTAACATAATCCATCAGTTTTTTTTTTTTTTTTGTGACATCCCCCAGTTACTGGCTATTTCTTGCTCAGAAAATTTAATGAAAGAAATTGTACCTATTCTCATTAGTGTGGTGTTGGATATCTGCTGTTTTATTTACATCATAATTTCCTTTGTGAACATCTTTTCCACTGTGAAAAAGATTCCATCAACAGAAGGTCAGTCAAAAGCATACTGTACTTGCCTTCCACATCTGGTTGTTGTATTATTTCTCTTCACTGACATCTTTGCTTATCTGAAACCAACTTCAAGGATTCCTTCCATTAGTGACCTTTTAATTTCTATATTCTACACAATGGGGCCTCCAACCTCCAATCCCATTATATACAGTCTAAGAAATAATGCCATGAAAATGTCACTGCAGAGGTTGTTCTTTTTTTGCATTTTTAATAATACCTATCATCTACAATTTTACACACATTATTTCTTAGTATTTTCCCCCATTTTTTTCTAGAACAGTTTTAGGTTAAAACATTGATAGGGAATAAAGAAATTTTCTGTATAACAACCACATCCACAAATTCATAACCTTCCTGAGTAATAATATAAGTCATCAGAATCACATATTTTAACAAAGATATACCTACACTGAAACCTTATGATTAATCCAAAGTTCATAGTTTACATTAGGGATTCTCTTAGTGTTTAACATCTATGGATTTGGAAAAACACATGACATACATTCATCATATAATGTTCCACAGAGCATTTGTCCTACCCCAAAACTACATCATACCCTGCCCATTTTTGTCCCCTAACCCCCATCAGATGAGGTTTTCAATAATCATTTTATTGTCTCCATATTTTTTACTTTCCCAGAATGTCATGTAGCTGGAATCATACAATATACAACCTATTCAGATTAGCTTTTCTTATTTAGTACTATACATTTAATTTTCTCCATGTGATTTTGTGGCTAGATCATTTCCTTTTATTGCTGTATAATATCCCATTTTCTTCATGTACCATAATTATTTACCCACTCATGTACAAAAGAGCATCTTGGTCCCCTCCAGATTTTGGCAACTAAAAATAAACCTGCCATAAACATCCTTCTACAGTTTTATTAGTACATAAATATCCTTTGGATAAATATATAGGGGCATGGTTGTAGGATTGTGAGGTAAAGTTAAATTCAGCTTAAAGTTTTAATTCTAGTATACTTAACATAAATTGTTATATTAGTTTCAGGTGTACAATATAGTGATTCAACGCTTCCATACATCACCCTGTGTTCATCACAACAAATGCATTCCTTAATCCCCATCACTTATTTCATCCATCTCCACCCCTGGTAACCATCAGTTTGTACTCTATACTTAAGAGTCTATTTCCTGCGTTGGATGGGTGGCTCAGCAGGTTAAAACTTCTGCCTTCAGCTCAGGTCATGATCCCAGAGTCCTGGGATCGAGCCCCGCATTGGGCTTTCTGCTCAGTGGGGAGCCTGCTTCCTCCTCTCTCTCTCTCTCTCTCTCTCTTTCTCTCTTTCTGCCTGCCTCTCTGCCTACTTCTGATCTCTGTCAAATAAATAAATAAAATCTTTTAAAAAAGAGTCTATTTCCTATTTTTTTTTCATTTTTGTCTTTTGCTCAATTGTTTGGTTTCTTAAGTTCCACATACTAGTGAAATCGTATGGTATTTTTTTTTCCTCCAAATTGATCCATTTCACTTAACATCTTACTCACTTTCTCCATCCATGCCTTTGCAAATGGAAAAAAATCATTTTTATGGTTGAATAATATTATATTTCATACATGTATATACCACTTCTTATTTATCCATTCAGCTATTTGTTTTCATTTGGGTTGATTCCATATTTTGGCTTTTTTACAACGTTATTTTTCATAACATAATTTTTTGCAACATTATTTTGTAAATAATATTGCAATAAACACAGGGGTGTATGTAACTCGTTGAATTTGTGTTTTTATATTTTTGGGGTAAATCCTCCAATAGTCCTATTACTAGATCATATGATAGCCCTATTTTTAATTTTTTGAGGAACCTCCATAGTGTTTTCCACGGTGGCTACACTTGTTTATATTCCCACCAACAGTGTAAGAGGGTTCCAATTACTCCACATCCTTGCCAACACCTGTTGTTTCTTGTGTTGTTGATTTTAGGCATTCTGTCAGATATGAGTTGATATTTCATTGTGGTTCTGATTTGTATGTCACAGTTGATGAAAGGTGTTGGGTATATTTTCTTGTTTATGTTGGTCATCTAGAAATTTCTGGGAAAATAAATGTTCATGTCTTCTGCCCATTTTTAGTTGTAATTTTTTCCTGGGTGTTGAGTTACATCAATTCTTTATGTATTTCAGATACTAACCCTTATCAGACATGTTATTTGCAAATATCTTCTTCCATCACATAGGTTTCCTTTTAGATTTCTTAACTGTCCCCTTAACTGTGCAGAAGTTTTTACTTTCATGCAGTCCCATAGTTTATTTTTGCTTATTTCCCTTGATTCAGGGGACAAACCTATAAAAATTTTGCTGTGGCAGATGTAAGAGACATTACTGTCTCTGCTCTCTACTAGGACTTTTGTGGTTTCAGGTCTCACATTTAGTTCTTTCAGCCATTTTGAATTTATTTTGTTTGTGGTGTAAAAAAGTGGTCTGGTTTCATTCTTTTGAATGTAGCTGCTTAGTTTTATCAATACCATTTGATCAAGAGACTATCTTTTTTTTTTCTCATTGAATATATGCTCCTTCTTTGTTAACAATTGAGCATATAATTGTAAGTATATTTCTAGATTTTCTACTCTGTTCTATTGATGTATGAGCCAATACTATGTGCCACTGCCATACTATTTTTATTACTGCAAATTTGTAATATAACTTGAAGTCTGGAATTTTCACACCTCCACTTTGCTTTGCTTTTTCAAGAATGTTTGGGCTCTTCAAAGTCTCCTGTGGTTCCATATTAGTTTTAGAATCCTTTGTTATTTTTTTTAATTTGTTATTTCTTTTCAGTGTAACAGTGTATTCATTGATTTTGCACCACACCCAGTGCTCCATGCAATCCGTGCCCTCTCTAATACCCACCACCTGGTTCCCCCAACCTCCCACCCCCCGCCCCTTCAAAACTCTCAGATTGTTTTTCAGAGTCCATAGTCTCTCATGGTTCACCTCCCCTTCCAATTTCCCTCAACTCCCTTCTCCTCTCCATCTCCCCTTGTCCTCCATGCTATTTGTCATACTCCACAAATAAGTGAAACCATATGATAATTGACTCGCTCTGCTTGATTATTTCAATCAGCATAATCTCTTCCATTCCCGTCCATGTTGCTACAAAAGTTGGATATTCATCCTTTCTGGTGGAGGCACAATACTCCATAGTGTATATGGAACACATCTTCCTTATCCATTCGTCCATTGAAGGGCATCCTGTTTCTTTCCACAGTTTGGCAACCGTGGCCACTGCTGCTATAAACATTGGGGTACAGATGACCCTTCTTTTCACTACATCAGTGTCTTTGGGGTAAATACTCAGTAGTTCAATTGCAGGGTCATTGGGAAGCTCTATTTTTAATTTCTTGAGGAATCTCCACACTGTCTTCCAAAGTGGCTGCACCAATTTGCATTCCAACCAACAGTGTAAGAGGGTTCCCTTTTCTCCACATCCCCTCCAACACATGTTGTTTCCTGTTTTGCTAATTTTGGCCATTCTAAGTGGTGTAATGTGGTATCTCAATGTTCTAATTCAGTGAAAAGTGATGTGGATGTATTGAGAGTGATTGCGTTAAATGTGTAGATTGTTTTGTATAGTGTAGAATTTTTTTTCCTTTTTTAAATTTAATTTTATTTTTTCAGTGTCCCAAGATTCATTGCTTTTTAAAAATTTTTATTTATTTATTTAAATTTCTTTTCAGTGTTTCAGAATTCATTGTTTATGCACCACACCCAGTGTTCCATGAAAGATGTGCCCTCCACAATACCCACCACCAGGATCACCAAACCTGCCACTCATATCCCCTCCAAAACTCTCAGTTAGTTCATCAGAGTCCACAGTCTTTCATGGTTCATCTCCCCTTCCAACTTCCCCCAACTCCCTTCTCCTCTCCATCTTCCCATGTCCTCCGTGATATTCCTTATGCTCCACAAATAAGCAAAACCATATGATAATTGACTCTCTTTGCTTGAGTTATTTCACTCAGCATAATCTCTTCCAGTCACATCCATGTTGATACAAATGTTGGGTATTCATCCTTTCTGATGGAGGCATAGTACTCCATAGTATATATGGACCACATATTCTTTATCCATTGTCCATTGAAGAGCACCTTGGTTCTTTACAGTTTGGTGACTGTGGCCATTGCTGCTGTGAACACTGGGGTAAAAATGGCCCTTCTTTTCACTATATCTGTATACTTGGGTAAATACCCAGTAGTGCAATTGCAGGATCATAGGGAATCTCTACTTTTTTTTTTATTTCTTAAGGAATTTCCACACTGTTTTCCAAAGTGGTTGCACCAACTTTCATTTTCACCAACAGTGTAAGAGGGTTCCCCTTTCTCCACATCCTCTCCAACACACGTTGTTTATTGTCTCGTTAATTTTAGCCATTCTAAGTAGTGTAAGATGGTATCTCCATGTGGTTTTTATTTGAATCTCCCAGATGGCTAGTGATGATGAACATTTATTCATGTGTCTGATAGCCATTTGTATGTCTTCATTGTAGAAGTCTCTGTTTATGTTTTCTGCCCATTTTTTGACATGATTATCTGATTTGTGTGTGTTGATTTAGAGGAGTTCTTTATAGATCTTGGATATCAGCCCTTTGACTGTATTGTCACTTATGAATACCTTCTCCCATTCTGTGTGTTGCCTTAACAATATTTGTTCTTCAAGATCATAAACATAGAATATCTTTCCATTTCTTCGTGTAATCTTTAATTTCATTCACAAATGTCTTATAGTTTTCAGAATACAGATCTTTCATTTCTTTAAGTGTATTTCTAGGTATGTTATTATTTTTGGTACAGTTGTAAATGATACTATTTTCTGTATTTCTCTTTCTGATGCTTCATTATTGCTCTATAAAAATGCAACATATTTTTGTGCACTGATTTTATGTACTGCAATTCTAACTGAATTAATTTATCAGTTTTTAGCTTTTTGGTTGAGTCTCTTGTGTTTTCTGTATATAGAATCATGTCATCTGCAAATAGTGAACGTTTCAATTCTTCCTTATCAAGCCATATGGTTTTATTTCTTTATGTTGTCTAATTGCTGTGGCTAGGACTTCCACTACAATGTTGACTAAAAATAATGAGAATGAACATTCTTGTCTTATTCCTGACTTAGAAGAAAGGCTTTCAGTTTTTCCCAAATGAGTGTAATGTTCACAGTAATGTTTTCATAGATGGTCTTTATCATGTTGAGGTATGTTCCCTCTAAACGTACTTTGTTGATGTCTTTTCTTATAAAAGTTGTTGAAATTTGTCAAATGTCTTTCCATGTCTA